ACAGGTTGTGCTAGTTTCTGCTACACTTCCACATGAAATCCTGGAGATGACCAGCAAGTTTATGACAGATCCCATCCGTATTCTCGTGAAAAGGTTGGCTCTTTATTAGTTATTAGTAATTATTAAGGAAATAATGTCTTTTTTTAGTGCGTCATGCAGTTTAGGTGTTGTTTCTCAAAACAATACATAGATTTGAAAAATTTTGGCAGGCTTCCCCCTCTGATGTCTTTGTCCTGACTCCAACTGCAATTTTTGGGCTGCATTATTCAAGAAGTTCAGAATTGAATATAGGAGAACTTAGCAATTTTATGGAAGGAATCAGAAAAACTTGTAGTAATTGCTGAGATTTATCACAAACAAGGTTTCATTTTTTTAAATATAGTATAAATATGGTACTACAAGAATACTGCTCAAATAGTAATAGGAGATAGGTGGCCACAGATAAAGGCCTGAATGCTGGACATCTTTAAGGTATCAGTTCATTAAGAATCCATGGATTCCAAGAGGGGAAAAGCTCTTTTGCTTAAAGGGCCTTTTATTTTACATAAATGAGGTTTCAGCATTTGAGCCTAAGTATACCATATATTTTCTGAAGATGGAGGGAGGTACCTATATAATGGAAGTTGAAAATTCTTTGTCTTGTCCAGAAAGTCGCAGATGGATAGGATGTAACTTTTGTGAATCAGTTGTCATTGTGAATGCTCTTTTTGTCTGTCTGATCAGAATGGAGTTCTAATTTTTTTGGCCCAGTAAATTCACACTAGCCCATGAATTCAGTTGACCACATATTTTTTATAGGAAGGATACCTTCCTAAATGCATATATTGCTGGGAAGAATATCATAATGTATCTTTTTTTGTGCAGAGATGAATTGACTCTTGAAGGCATCAAGCAGTTTTTTGTGGCAGTTGAGAGAGAAGAATGGAAGTTTGACACCCTCTGTGATCTCTATGACACCCTGACCATTACACAGGCAGTCATATTCTGCAACACAAAGAGGAAGGTACTGGATACCTAAACTACAGAGTTCTAATTTCCTCATCCCACATCTAGCTCTTCTCCATCATGTTTGGAATATTTTTATCTTAGGTTGATTGGCTGACTGAGAAGATGAGGGAAGCTAATTTTACTGTCAGTGCTATGCATGGAGACATGCCTCAAAAGGAGAGAGATGCCATCATGAAAGAGTTTCGAAGTGGTGCCACGTGAGTCTTCTCAAACACTTAAGAAAATCTTGCTCATTTTAATGTTCATCGATTATGCATTCATATTTGCTTGACTTGTACAGAAGTATGCCTAACACCAGACAGCTTAGATCTGGATAGCACTTGAAGCAATTTATTGAATCTTTCCTTTTTTCTGCAGTCGTGTGCTAATCACCACTGACATTTGGGCCAGAGGTATTGATGTTCAGCAAGTCTCTCTTGTCATCAACTATGACCTACCCAACAATCGAGAACTCTACATACACAGGTATGCTGGAAGTGGAAAGGCCCCACTAGAAAGTCTCCTGTTTGTTTCTATCATACAAGGTACCTCATAAGTAACAAGACCATTTTCCTCAACTATATTATCAATATTGACAATCAATTTTAACTTACAAGAAACCTTTGGCATATGTAATTTCCTAAGATAATATGTAATACTCTTGACTAAGGGAAAATGAATGCTTTGAAATTCAGTCATATAGCAGGAAATAAGGGAACTTGATATTCTGAACAGCCTCCAGACTAAAATATTAATTTCTGTGCTGAGGTTGAATATTGTACCATGAGACAACCATCATTGTGCAGAACTGAATCTGAGTTATCTTTTGAAACCAAGTTTATTGTGAAAATTTCCCTTTGCTGTACAAAAAAATGCACTTGGAAAATGGGATAGGACTTTTGAGAAGCATGTTTTTGAAGTACTTCTTGTGGTTCTGAAATACATAGAATCCTTACCTCATATGCACACTTATTTTTTCCTTTCACAGGATTGGTCGATCTGGCCGTTTTGGCCGGAAGGGTGTGGCTATTAATTTTGTGAAGAATGATGACATCAGGATCCTGCGAGACATTGAACAGTACTACTCCACACAGATTGATGAAATGCCCATGAATGGTGAGTGTAATTTTTTTTTGCCAAAAAAATCCTACATCTCTACCTTCTGTGCCCAGAAGGTGACCCCCATACCATACCGAGTATTAAAAGTCAAGGACAGCTGTGTTTCAAGACAGTGACACATCTTTCATCTATCTTGCTTGCTTCTTCAAGTGTGAACATAGCCTTCTGCTTAGCTCATATTTTACAAAACATGGTTCACAGTGATTACTTTCAAAAGTAAGATGGGGTTTTGAAATAATGTTCCCAAAATGAATCATTTGCCTTGTATGGGTTAAGACTATACTGCTGTAATTGGAAAAAAAAAGCTGACATCTTCGGTAAATGGTTCCCCTCACCCAGCAGCCAACAGCTTAACATAGAAGAGTTGTAACTGCAGATAAACCTCAGTTTAACAACTGATGTTTCTGCAAAGCAGACAAAATTTATGCTGCGAAGGTTGGACAAGGATACAGACATATGACTGGAGTTACTTTCTTTTACATTTGATGGTTAACCACTGACATATTTGCTTGTTTTTTTAAATTCCTTTTTCTCCTGATTTCAGGTCAATAATATCTAGCTTTGCAGAATTTTATGAGCTAAAAATTTCAATGAATTTTATTTCTTTGTGTTTTGAATAAAAATTACTTTCTTAGGATGTGCAGTGCTCCTACTTAGTTGTAACTCAATCAGCTGGTCCTTTTTCAGGCACAATTAAGTGATAGAATTCATAATAAGATTTGTAAGATGTACAACACATATATCTCTTAGACATGGCAGACAGAGTGGTTGTATGTTATACCCTGACAGTAGATATTTCACAGAAAGCAGGTGGGTTACATGGCAGCATAGAAGAGCTGAACTTGGCCCCCCACCTCCTAGGTTTAAGTTGAATGCCTGAACCACTTGGATCACTGAATTTGACTGCACTGACTCTTTTGCTTTATGCAGCAGGAATGTTTTCCTGAGCATCACACTTAACTGAGTTGTTTGCAAATCAACTGGATAGGCTCTTCAGATCTGACACCCTCTCTTCTCAATGGGACAGAAGTGTGTACATTGAGTATGTCAACAACATCTATAAATAAATATTCTGTATTTTATCTTGCAGTGGCTGATTTGATCTGAATGGGATACCTGACAACCAAAACAAGAGCAGTTCCTTCAGCTGCAAGGGTAACCAAGAAGATCCATACGGAAGGTACAATCCTGTCATGCAAAGCTTGAAAGGTTTTTGTCTGTTTCCTTCACAATAAAAGTTTCAGTTCTCTATGACTTTGAAGTGATTGATTTATGTATCCATGACTTCAATCACCATGAAAATTGTAAAACTTGCACCATGTTTGTTGTCTTGTAAGAGATGATATGAATCATGAGATGCATGAGATACATGAACACGTACTTTGACTGATAGACAATCATGGGATGTTGTAGGGCTTTCCTGATTTTAGTGATGGCATGAAATATTTCAATTGCAGAAGAACTAGAAATGAGTGATGACCCAGAATATGTGTGTCTAGGGCTTGGTCAAGGATTTGAGAGAGAAATAAATAACTTGCTCATAGTATGTTGTAGGGGGTCTCTTTCATAATTCGTCAATTATATCTTAATTGGCAGGCAGGGAGTTGTGAGAAGCTTGCCAATGATGCTGTCTTACACTCTTGACTGAATTCATATTTATTATCAAAGAGCAGCTATCCAGCTAATAACAGTTCATGCACCCATGAAAACTTGCAGGAGTTTACTTTGAGATAGTTTTTTATAAGCAAATCTCTGGGTTGAAAATTCATGGTGCCCATCTCAATCATTACATTGAAAAAGTTGGTTACCATCTTCACTTTCCCTTTGTCTTTTTGTGTCTCAAAAGTCACAAACTTTTATATTTGAATACCCTTTGAACGTATAGGAATTAAAAATAAAAACAGACTTGTATTGAGGAACAGGAAATTTTGACATGTGGCATGCCACTGATTGGTTTTTCACTGTAATATATACTCCAAGAGATCTTCATTCAGGGAATGTCAAGGAAATAGCAAATGATGCGCTCAAAAGTATGGTTGATGCCTACACTTTTCACTTCCTGAAACAAAATGATCATGCATGCCCATCAGGGATGTGTCCATGGAGTTGAGGCCCTTTGCAACAGGTCACATTCCCTCCTACTTGGCAAACTTTGTGGTTAATCTCCTCCCATTGGAGTATCTTAGATGAGTTAATGGTGTACAAGCTGAAGAGCATTAAGTGAAAAGTGTGTGCCATTTGCTTACTGGTTTGCAAGCCAAGATGCTTGCAACACAGTCATTAAAAATGCCCTTGTTGGTCTTAGGGAGAGTAAAAGACTCAGAAATGATTCTACTTTACCTAAATTTTGTGGTGAAGCACCACTATTGGAATATGCTGCATAAGTTTTCTAAAGGTATGCATTTCATTAATGCATGTGCCTGTTTCCTTTTTTCCTCTCCATTAACCTTTTTAGTGTCATACTGCCAACCCATAGGCTTGATGGACTATTTATAGTTCNCTGCCAACCCATAGGCTTGATGGACTATTTATAGTTCTTTTGAAGTTTTTGGTAGTTTCTCAAATACTGTATACCATAAAATCAATGCAAACTAGGGTAAAGGCACCAGTTTGTGGACAGGTTAAGGAAATTTTCCTCTTGAAAATTGTGCTACGGTCGTTGGGGTAACCGAGAAACCGCTTGATTGGTTTCAATGGGAGGCCACTTATCATAGTTTGATGCCCATAACCTAAAATAAAATATTAGAAATATACTTTTCCAACAATCGATGTTTAAATGAGTATGTGTTTATTTTCACGTGGTTCCTATTTGTGGACAGCCTGGTTCCAGTTTGTGAACATCCATGGACATAGTTTGTGGACACCAGTTTTTGTCAAGAATTATGAACGTGCGCAGGCCGAATAGAAAAATATGGGCATGAGACATGTACAGCAATTATATTTATCTCCAATGATGTCCTGTTAAGAAATATATTGTAAAAATTAATGAATTCAGGGGTGCTAGGTCTAAAACTGAGCGAGAATGTCCAAATTCACTCATGCTGATGGGTATGCATAATTTATGTGGCGGCTGACAGGCAAGTGCAAAATATGGAGCATTTGAGGAAATAAATTTTCGGCGTGAATTTTGTGAAATGGCAAAAAACGCAAAACTGTCCACAAACTGGTGCCTCTACCCTATATGGATTTTAAAGATTTTTCCCACCATGATACCACCATGATATTTGAAAAACAAGAACCCTAATATATGAAGCCTCTCTTTTTAAGCGTGTTTTATAAGAGTTCCTCTAAAGATTCACGAACAGGTAGATTCTCATGGATTCAGTTTCACGTTCCCGTGACAGCCCCCTATTGGACTTCTGTGTATCAATATCCACTTACCTTAACACGAAAGCCCAAAAGTCAAATTTAGGGGTTCATTTCTCCAAATCAGAATTTACAGTTATCCAACAATGTTACGCTTTGCTTGCAGAGCAGCCTGAAGCAAGATCTGATGGGAAGCTGTTTAACGAAGGAAAGCACAGATGGCGCCGGCAGTACGCAGCGAACTGCTTTAAATGCCTATTCAACATAACTTGGTTAATTCCCCACTGTCACCGTGGTATATTTGCGGAATTCAATTCCACGGTTCATTTCATAGATGAGGAGGGTATATTAGTTCCTTTGGATTTCTCGTTATATCTTCTATTTTTCTGTTTGCAATTATAGGGAAATGATGAAGCGACATTTCTATGGGTTCCAACTTAGGCTTCCTAGGCAATTAATTTGCTGATTGATGTGATGTATGCAAATGGCTCCTGGATTGGATGGTCGTCTCCCTGCAAAAGTTTCTCGAATAACTTGAGGCACGCCTTGCCTCGAATGGAATGAGGACTGGGACATTTCAATAGGGAAGGGATCCCATCATCACATGAAACGCCTCTCAGCTTTCTGGACTCCATCCATGTCTGTGGAAGAGGTCGTCCGTACGACCTCTTCCCTCCCTTCATCGAGACATGCAAGAGACATACTTCATTAGAGAAGTTTCCCGCTGAGTGGTTTTGCTGGACAAGCACGTTACTTTTCTGGTATTCTTCGGCGTTGACTAGGGATGGCTGACCCGAAGAGCGGCAAGGTTAGGAAACGGTTTTCCTACTGACACGCAGCTAATGAGATCTTCCTCGGCGCGCGAAAGAATTAGTTTGCAAATCACGGTCATGGAAGTCCCCCTCCGCCTCAGGTGATGAGGGATGACTGTACAGATGCAAGGAATGGGAGGAATGATGATGGACTCCCGTGCCCGTTCATCGAGAAGAGGCTGAGATAAGGAGAGCGCGTGCCGCGACCCGCCCCCACGGTAATGTGAGGCGAGACGCACTGCGTGGCATGCCTTGGTGCTTGCGATGCCCCGTGGAGGCACGAGGTCAAACACCTCTCCAGCCTCGCCGAGGCAAAGAAATGGGAAGAGGAAAAAAAATCTCTTCCATGACGTGCATGAATGAGATGGAGAGGGAAAGAAAAAAAAAAAGAGAGCGAAGATACATTGGAATGGTTTCAAATATCGAGTTTGGCGAGTCATGATCCCCGTGGCCGCTCCCCCGCGAGGGAAATAGAAATGGAAGAAAAAAAAGAAAATGCGAGGAATGAAAATCTGGGCTTGCTGTTGCGGAACGCCCAGCCGAGAGAGCGTGCTTGGTGCGTGCTGGAGATGGCCTGCGGCTGAACACCGGCAGATGGTCGCGTGCCATCTATTGGAAGCAGGTGATAACCAACCTCGGCTTCCTCTTTACGGCCCTGCCCCTGTCTTCCTTCCTTGGCCCCATCACTGCACCACTGCTGTTTAGATATGGCGAAGTTCATGTGTGCGCATCGACGTGAGAAGTTCGCCTCCGGAAGAGCTTTGTCTTCCAAGACTCTGAAACTCCCCTCTCCCCCTCATTTCTTCTCCCTCTTTTTCACTCGGACATCCTTTACCTTGTTTGCTGTGATTATTGTGAGCATAGGCCTAACGTTCGGCTAGGTTGTGCTGATGTGAGTCCTAACGTTAGTTTCCATTACTTTGACGTTAGGCCCTCGTCACGACCAACTTCAGGTTATGAAAGCCCCAACGTTAGGCCTAGTTATCGGTCTAGCCATTGGCGACCAGGGAATGTGCATGGATTTGGATGAACTTGCTTATGCCATTCGAACTATTTAATTAAAAACTCGATAGAATCAGTCCAGAAAAAATCATTAATTGTTAATATTCAAAGCCCATTTGCCTACAGTGATTTACACTTGAGTTAGACTTGTTTCTCCTCTTGATTGACACCCATGCATGAATATTGGTGTTGGGTGAAAAAATACCAGACTCAAAGGGAAAACACTATGTTCTAGGCCTAACAGTGGGTATATGCATAGCCAATTTCCCCTGATACAGGGAAGGTACTGGTTTCTTGGTAGTTGTAAATATTACTTATGCAGAAAAAGTTGATCAAGCTAAATCTAAGTAAAACAGGCTCTTATTGTAGATGTATGCATCCCAGCATGTTGAATGAGACATTAGGTTATTTGTCCTTACTTGCAGCAGCTTGCACATTATTTCACTTGAATCTCTTCTGTAAGACTTTCTTATTGCATGAGATAACATTCCTCCTGGATGTAATAAGAAATACTCCATTCAATCAGGAAACAATTTGGTAAAGGTCATGGCCAGTCTCTTTATTTTCAATATGATGAAGGTTCTGGCAGAGTTAATGAGGCAGTCTTTTGGATTCTCTCCTGAGCAATGACATAGTTATTAGGTGCAGGAGGAGAGGAGGTGCAGTGTTCTGGAAAAGGACAAACATATCATCTCCCACTCAGTAATCTAATACTCATCTATTGGGCCTAGGTAGATGGATAATGGGTTTAAATCAAAGAAGCCATCAGGTTTCAACATTCAATCAACATTCAATTATTTGAAAATAAGTTGCCTACTTACCTGTAGTGCATGTTAAGAGGTGTGTGTATATCTCCCATGGAAAGTGTGACAATAGGCTGATGGGGAGTTTAAGTGACTGGTAGTATTGTACAAATTCATTTGCATTTTACTGTACTTGAAATTCAACCATTTTTTCTTTCACAAGAGACTAGTAAATAAGCAGTGTGGTCCAGTATTCAACTTTGAGTTTATGAGTGAGCTGGATTGAAGCTTTTTTGAGTGGCAGGAAGCAGTGATTATCTGTAAATGGTGCATTTTATTTTTCAGCCTTAACAATTTGAATGTGCTATGGGTGTAGGATGTCATGTAGCAGTTGCAGGTTTAAGAGTGACTGTATGTGACAGTGCTTCCCAATTGGCAAAGTAAGGCACTTTGACAACCATGAGTGAAAAAACATTATTGTTTTGACAAATAGTATAATTATTTGTTGATGCTAATGGCAACATCATTTCCCAACATAAAAGAGCATTGTTTTAAATGTGTAGCTCACCAAGTTTGCCATGTGAAAAAAATTGCAAAATATAAAAGGTGGGGCAAAGTAGGTATACAGTTAGCTGTTTGATGACAGATGCATTCAATGAGACTAATGAAAATTAGGTACTCTGTCAGAAAGTGTGCAGAAGTGTTAAAGACTGTTTCCAGAAATGTGTCAACTGTGATGGCCACCAGTTTGAACATCTCCCAGAATAGCTTCTAAATGTTTTGTAAATAAATAAATAAACAGCTAACTGTATACTTACTTTTGAACCAGTCAGTATATTAAATTATGGCAACCAGTTATCAGCCATCATGGCCAATTTTAGCAAGTTTTTGGAAGCACTTCTCAGCTGCAACCCCATAAGGAAAAATCATGTATGATTCTATTAGAAATGGGTATGTATGATCTTAGTGACTAATGGTCCATTGTGTTTGATAATACATGAACATGTATGGGAAAACATCTGATCATATCTTATTAAACAATGGGTACATAATCATGTATGGTAAGGTCATTTATGAACTTAATAAATGACTTGTATGTCAAAGATATGGAAAAGCAGATAAGATAATTATTTAACTTTGGTGTGTCTATTGTATATATGGTGAGACATGCATGTCTTCCTCACAAATATTGTTAAAATCTAAAAAAAAAATGACATCAGGAACTATGTTGAGAATTGGCACTTCATCTGTCCCTTCAGTGGCATTGAAAATACAAAGAATGCTTCTGTATTGCATTGAAAATGAAGCATGCTATAGTAAAAAGAAATATAAAATGTCCTTAGTTATAAGTTTTAAAAATATTGTCTACTAGAAATCAAGATTTCTATAGTTGTGCAATTTCCACTGTCAATAAGGAGTGTATAAGAAAAAATGAAAGTAATCACTGCAGAATCTCTTTGCTGGTGCTCATTAGGTATTCATTTAGCAATCATCAGCATCATATTCCTCTTCCATTTTCTTCCCCATCAGACTAATGATACTTGTATATTGAAAATACATGTTTGCTCAGATTGGTTTAACTTAGGAATAAGCATCACACACATTGTGCTAAGTTTCTTGTCCTGACCCGCCCATGCATCCTGGGGTCCCAGGACCCCCCCAGGATGCACAGGCAGAAGGCCTAAGACTGCTGGATTGAATATCATACTGCTTGGTTATCTTAAGTTGGCAAATAAACATGGATAACTGAAATCTTCCTTTTGGGGAACCCTTCCATATCAGACCTGAGGGTCCCAGGGACCCCCTATGGCAATAAACCTAGTGTAACCCCTGCTCACATGGATGGTGTTCTTTAACCATATATGCTCTTATATTTAGCTTCATACATAAATATTTATGGCACAAGTTACTATATACAACTGCCATATATGATCATCCTGTATTGGATGCCTTGGATGCTACTAAGAATGACGTTGGAAGTGACTTCTTGATTTGTTTCTTCTATGACTTGGGTGGAGACTTCTAGGTGAGGTCAGTATGACACAGTTTAACCTTGTGGACCTTAATGGCAGACATTTAAGTTACTCTCACTTCAGTGTCAATTTGAGAGATGAATTCATTTGGCTCTATTATGGGTATCCTTGTCATTCCTCAAAGGGTTAAGGCCTCTCTTTTATAAATAAGAAATGAAAATAAAGATGGCTTTTGACCTCACATCACATCCTTCTCATCTTAAACACGAGGAAGTTATAATGCTCATAAAAAATTATAATCCATCCTTTTGAATCCTTCAGTTGACAAATACTAGACTTGAAGTCATTATATATGGTTGGCCAAAAGTGTGTTGCAAAAATTAAATTGGCAAACAATGTAAAGTAAGTTAATTTAATGGAATCAAGTAATACATGCAAAAGAAATTATATTCTCAGAAAATGTTAATGACTATGTATTCAAAGTGATAGCAATGAGTATGAAATGTACAATATGTACTGGATGTTGTGCATAGATAGCCCCCACCTCCACAGCCTAAATTACTGGAGCTTTCAAAACAAAATTAATATATTTGAATCCTTGTTGAATTTTGAATCTACTTTATCCCATTTTGTTTTTTTTTTTTCCTGTCATATGATGGTGAAGAACTTAAGTTCATTGATTGCATTTGTGCCATTGCTTTATGAGCTCATGGTGCTGGAGCTGAATTTGTTGGATTTTGTTGAGCAAGAAGCATGGATTCTCCTGAGAAGCCATGCAAAGTGACATCACCAGAGTGTTGAAGGACATGGAATATGACACATAACTCTTAAACCCCTTGTGTTATCATTTAAATGGCCTCCTGCTTGGCCTAGAGTGGTCCTTTAAAGCTGCACTGCTCACACTGCACTAGCAGTAATTGCTTTAAATGTAAATTTGTCATTTTGTCATGTATGTTGCAGTCTTACCTTTTTAACAGTTCTGAAGTACAGGCAACATGTCTACCTCGTGGTAGCCCAGAGTGGACACTGGCGCTGACCACAGGTCTGACTCATTCAGACACAAGGAGTTATCTTCTTTTCATCTTACCCCACTCATTTTAAAGCTACCAGAGACACAGCCATGGTACACACAAATTACGAGAAGTACATGTTCAGATTTGAAAATGAATGCTCTTTCTCATGATATGAGTTTTTTTCCTATCTTATAGTTTAAGCCATGGGGGCTTTCTATGTGAAACACGTGGTAGTTGACCCAGGTGTGAGGGTGACCTGAAGGTCTCTTTAGCTCACTCTGTATAGGGTGCAGTGCATCCTCATGCATGCATATTCCATACACTTCCATGCTATTGTGCACATCCTGTCAGCTATCATCCTATCAGCTTCAGCATGTACCCATTCCTCATTCTGAAGGACTAAACCTAAGTAGGAGTGTGAGGGAGTGCAGAAAGTTGGGTGTGCACTGTTATTCCCCTGCTTAATATTCTTTCACCCTCCTCATCCCCAATTTTTCCACTACATGAATCCAAGATACTAACTTCTCCCTTCATCTAGAAATTGCTGCCTGGATATTGTAACAGTTGCTTGAATATCCAAATTTCCACATTCACCCTTGTGTTTGACTATGGTATTATGCTCTTAGAATTGGTAGTTATAAATTTATGACAGACCATTGGTCTTTTACAGGTTTTCACTATAAGGGATCGTTTTAAAATGCTTGTTGTAGGCTTATCAAATATGTAAATGCCATTATCCCTTGATCCAGGTCTAATTTGTCATTTATTCATGCAGAGATGTGCTTTTAAGAACAAAGTCAATGATATGACACAAGCCAGAGATTCAACTGTGCTCAAGCAAATATGACATCTTCAGCTGAAGATGCTTCAGTGCTGGAGAACACTCTAAAAGAAGAAAAGTTAGAATCTGTGGCATCATCTTTGAAACAGGAGACTTCTGAAGAAGCATCTCCACATCATCACCACCATCATCATGCTGGTGGAGGAAGGAGGGGGAGACTCAAGTTTTTTCTTGGTGAGATTATCTTTAAGTTTAGGATTGACTTTTCTTTTGTCTCCCTCTATAAGACTAGAAACTAAAACTGAAGTAATAAGTTCTAAACCGACTAAAACATTTTCAACCATGCCTTAGTATACCTATAAATAGACTTGACTTTTTCAATAAACCTGTTGAGCCCATGCTTTTCATGATGCTGAGATGTAATACTTTAATACCTTAAATGTCAAACATCCCTTACAAATGTACTTTACTTTCAATAAATTTAGCAGTGATATTGCTGGTCATACCATACCAATTCTAGTAATATCAATATCACTTTTTGCCATGTTTTGGCTGCTAGTATGTAAATGTGAAATGAGGTGGTTTTGGTTTGTGACTCCACTTTGGCCCCTTGCAAAAAAATTGCTTCAATGTAAAGTCATATATTTTGAACATTTGACAGGTTTGTGTGTCTCTGTAAGCCAAAATTAAAATTCAACTTGCTTTGCTCATCTGACTTAGCTCACTGGAATTTTTGGCCAGAAAAGAATGGCAGATACTTAAAATGTAACTGTTTCCCTCTGGCAACTTCTTCAGCCACAGTTCAAGCTAGTTTGGTCAGATGGTTAGTGATTTGTCACCAAAGGCTGTAGGGATTGATCTAAGTATAGCTTTGTGATGGATTTTTCTCGATCAGATGCCATTGGCCAAGTAGGTGGGATAATTGGTTAGCTCTTTAGAATAGCATGTTTGCTCAATAATAATATACTAAGACAATGCTTTTTGTGGAGGTGCTTAGGCCGATGACTGAGGTAAAAATCCATAAACCTATTTTTCTTATGGCTGAAGGTGGAAGGGTCCTCTTGGAGCTGTCACATTGTGAATGTGGTGATAAAGCCACTTGGGTTGAGGTATCCAGGAAAACATACTGGCCACCTGGCATCACAAATGGCCCCACACCTCCCTGTCCAACACCTGCCTCCTCACATAAGCATGAAAGCTCTGCCTCAGGTGAGTCAGTGTGTTCAACCATTTGACAATTTTGTTGAGTTTACTAGCATCTCACATGGTTCTATTCTGTGCTTCCCTCAGATGCATCTTCAGTTCAATCCTCTTCCCCGTGGCTACGTGATCATCCATGGAAACAAACATGCCCAAGGAAGAACCTCAGCAAGGAATTGAGTTTCTTCTTCAGAGCCTCACCTTCTCACAAGCATATCCGAACAAAAATGGAGCAGAATATACTTCGGACTCCATGGTGCATTGTGAAATGTGAAAATGGTAATGTGGAAAATGGTGCTTCTCCTTCATTGACAATACGAGCACCTGCCAAGCGTAAGAACCTGGACATGATCATTAAGGAACTGCGCTCTAGGCTCCGAAGGCTTGATATTGATGGGTGCTCACTTTCATCACCCTCAAAACCCATGCTGGTAAGAGGGAAGAATGTGTTCATTGAACCTGGAGACCCAAGCTTGGTGTCTCCACGAAAACGGTTCTTGCGGGATGCAGAACGCAAATCCACAGGAAGTGCTCCAAGTAGCAAGTTGTCCAAGTGCCAAATCAGCAGTGCCAAACCCACCAGTTACTCAATAGATTCATTATTGGGAATAAACAATAGTGGCAATGAGTCCAGTTCAAGCAGTCAGAAGGAAAAGGACCCTGTGGACATTTCAGGTTCTAAGCTTCGTTCATTATTGATCCCTCATGAGAGGAGGCTTCTGAAAGATAAGATTTGCAATAGTGGTGCTTCTGAAAACATGAGGAATTCCTCCCCATTGAGCATGCCCAGTGCAAGTGACAATCATATTTCAGTGTCTCATCCTTTCCCTTCTTCACCCAACAGCATTTTCCCCTTCCCAGCGTTTCATCCAACAGGATATTGGCCAGCACTTTTCAGTGCTCCAGGACTCTTCCCATTGGGTCCTTTCCCCCCTATACCCATGAATCCATATGGGCTGTACATGGGTGCTGCAGCTGCTGCTTCTCCTAATTCTGAGTCTGTGATCAGCCCTCATGCTCTCATCTCTCCCAGTGGGTCTTTTATTCAAGAATTCTCAAGTGAAAGCTCAAATGATCACCAAGGTGAGCACCTAATCTCAGTTTGCAGAGTAGTCACCAAGAGTCATAAACTTGAGCGAAAAACCAAACTGCTTGATTTTCATATACTGGAAAGTAAACATGATGGGCTTTATTTCTAACTCCCTTTACTAGTCGGTATGAAGTGCTTGGAATTTTAATTTTTCCTTAGCAGCAAGAGTGTATGACCTCTTGGGGAAATATTGGAGGAAGTCATTTTCTTAGGATATGGGTTTCTTCAAGAACAAAATGACAGCAAAAAAAATTACTTTCTGTGAACCCTTATTTGCTTTGGTTTGAATCACCAAAAAATTGAACCCAAAAATGTATGACATTTAAATTGAACCAGAGCAATGCTGGGAGTAGTGCTCTGTTAAGGAGAGTAAAAAATCAGTTGGAAATGGTGAACTAATACTGGAACTGAATCTATATTTATTCTGCTTTTGACTCCCTGGTGGCAGTTTGTAATCCTCTTCAATGCCCTTTGCATGCATTAGCAAAATGGGAAAATCTCATCAGCAGTGATTTGTTGTAAGTGAAGTTCAGAGTTTGGTGAGTAATGATTTACCTGTTACTTTTTTTTCAGATGTGCCGTTGAATTTGTCCACCAGAAGGACGCCTGCAGAAAGTGATCCTACATGACCTGAGCAATACTCATCCATCGTCCCACTGTGCATTATTTTCATTGCTGAAAGATTCTGAAAAAAAGAAGAGTTGATTATTTGTTTAATTATTTTGTTCCTTGACCAAAGGAAGATCTTGGTTGCTTCCCATCTTTCTCTACGAGTTCGTATTCCTCTGTGATATAGGAATGCTGAAGGTGGTTGAGAAAATAGAGTACATTTACTTTGTTGCTTATGAGTAGATTGCAGGAATTACATAATTCATATTGCATTCATGCAATTATTTTCTAGCTGTTTAAAAGGGTGATGATACACTGTCTTATTGAGTCTGGCATAACCTCAGTTTTGCATTCTCTGAGCCATCAGTTTTTTATATCATTATTTAAAGTTCCACCATGATCCTCACTCCACTTATGACTTCCAAGATCACCAAGTATTACATGTAATGGGTTTCATAGCTTGTCATTATTCCTTTAGTAAATGAGACATTTTTAAAACTTGTTTTGGAGAAAGAACTGCTGTTTTTCCCAGGCTGAGCCCATGCTGACTTCATAATGCACAGACAATATCTATTAGATGTTTTAGTCATTATTGGTCAACCCAGTGTGGTCTCATAAATTTGTCTGTTATTGGTTCAAATGTCATTGTAGAAATTTCGGTTGCTCATTTGACATCTAAGCATGATGATGTGATAGGTTTTCATTGAAGTGCCAGATAATGAGTTTTGCAAGAAAGAATACAATGACTGCATGATTTTATCACTTGATGTGAACATGGACTCAGTCTAGGACAAAGAGTAGATAGTAAGTATTATGAAAGTCTTCAGTGGCATGTATTGTTCTTCCATTTGCCACCTTCTTTAAGAACAGCTTCTTCAGCAGTTGAGTCATGGTGGTTTTTTTTTTTTTACATCACACAAGTTGAGCTCAATCAAAAATCTGACAATGGAATATGCCTAATTTTTGCTCTGTGAATCCTCATGCTCCTGTGAACAGTTGGAATCCGTTTTGCATTCAGTTGAGAAGTTTGTAAAGACATTTTTTGTACTAGCTGAAATAAATTGAATAGTAACACAATTATTTCCAAATGCATTCGTTTTTTACATTTGAAGCATTGATGAGGAAATTGCATCACTTCTAAAAGTGGGGCTGCCTTTTATGGCATGCATGGGCAGATCCTAACCTGAAACCTACTTGATGCTGGATCATTTTCTCTACTGGTGTGCGAATAGGACATGTTTATTGATCTGATCACATTGCTGGTTAAGGGCTTTATTCAGTTTTCAGTAATTTGGCAGCATGATGAACATATGATCCTCTTGGAAATTCATGATTGTGTATACTTTCCACTGGTCTCATGGTTATTGTTTCTTTGCTCTTGTCTATTTTTCAGGATATTTATAATGTCTGGCAGAAGTCAATAGAACCCTTTCTTTGGGTTACTCTGTGATTCATAGCTAAGATGTCTTGGAAGAACAGGAATGGGCCAGGCCCAATCCCACCTCGCTGGCTCAACTGCCCTCGGAAGTCTTCCAATCTCATTGGAGGGAAGTTCCTTGCCTTCAAGACACCCCTGGATTCAAAGTTTGATGATCAAGTGCCAGATGAAAGTCTCTTTTATCCTGAAATGGTGATTCAGTCCATGAAGAGTTACCAAGTGAGCATTGGGTTGTGGATTGACCTCACAAACACCACACGCTTCTATAACCCTAAATTCCTAGAAAACTTGGGAATCAAATACTGCAAGCTGGAATGTCGAGGTCATGGTGAGACCCCATCTCCCGATCAAACTAGAACTTTTATTGAGGTCTGTGATGCATTCATTAGGCAAAATCCTCTGCTGGCAGTTGCTGTTCATTGTACGCATGGCTTCAATCGTACAGGCTTCTTGATCTCATCCTATCTCATTGAGAAATGTGACTGGGCTGTGGATGCAGCTGTGACTACTTTTGCTGAAAACAGGCCTCCTGGTATCTATAAGGGAGACTACTTGCAGGAGCTGTTTCGTCGTTATGCAGATGTTGAGGATGCTCCACCTGCCCCAGCCTTGCCAGACTGGTGCATGGAATTGGATGATGTAGATGATGATGGTGACCAGGTGACATGTGGCTCCTCTGACAAAGTTCCAGTGCGTATGAAGAAGGCAGAGATAGTGAAGAAGAATCCAGAATTCATGGAAGGAGTTCCCGGAGTCACACCAGTGATGAATCGTGAAAAACTGGGTCACATTCAGAGAAGAGTGCAGGAAATGTGTGAATGGAGAAGTCGGGGTTTTCCAGGAAGTCAGCCTGTGTCTATGGACAGGCAAAATATCTCATTTTTATCAGCTGCTCCTTACAAGGTTTCCTGGAAGGCTGATGGGACAAGATACCTTATGCTAATAGATGGTGCCCAAGAAATTTATTTTATTGATCGAGATAACTGTGTGTTCCATGTCAAGATGTTAACCTTTCCCAAGAGGAAGGAACTGAATCGACACATTTCTGACACCCTCGTTGATGGGGAAATGGTGATTGATGAAGTGAAGGGCAAAAAGATCCCCCGTTTTCTCATATACGACATTATCCGTTTCCAGGGGAACAAGGTAGGCCAGATGGACTTCAATGTAAGGCTGATGTGTATTAGACGTGAGATAGTTGAACCAAGACATGCTGCCATGGCATCAGGAGCAATAGACAGAACCAAGGAACCTTTCAGTGTCCGACCAAAGGACTTTTATGATCTAGTGAAAGCCAGAAGTCTTCTTGGTCCAAAATTCCGTAAAGATCTGGCTCACCCACCAGATGGTCTCATCTTTCAACCTGTGAATCAAGCATATATAGCTGGGCGCTGTGATTCAGTCTTGAAATGGAAGCCGCCTTCCATGAACTCGGTTGATTTTCGGTTAAAAATTGTGGAAGAAAATCGAGAGGGAATGCTGAAGAAGTCTCGAGGGCTGCTTTTTGTGGGGGGGTTGGATACTCCATTTGCTGAGATGAAGGTAACCAGAGATCTTCGGCAATATAACAATAAGATCATTGAATGCAAGTTTGAGAACCCACACTGGGTATTTATGAGAGAGAGGACTGACAAATCCTTCCCAAATGCTTATGAGACAGCCAGTAGTGTGTGGGAAACCATTCGTAACCCTGTGACTGAAGACTTTTTATTGGATTACATTGATGAAGCTGTTATGCCTCCTCCTCCTGACTCATTCATAATTCCTCCTCCAAATGATTCTACATTGAAAGGGTTGAAGAGACCTGCAGATCGATCTGAAGATGAGATGCTTGCCAAGAGAGAGAGGAGAGATGCTCATTAATACTGCTAGGAGTTTTCATGAATGTGCTTCTTGAGTTTCAGCACTCAGGATGTTGGTTTTCAATTTTCTAATGCCTGTTTTTTTTTTCCATGTCATTGCAGTTACCGAATCGTGTCAAGTAATGGCTCATTTATGCACAGACCACAAATTTACATGGATTCTTCTAAAGTTATATTGGTTTATTTTCTGCCAGAGTACTTGCAGGTACTTTCTACCCTTGCAGGTACTTGAAAAAGTTAAAATTATCTGGAGCCATGATTATGTGATACAGTTAAGGTATGGACTGGCTTGATGAAATGAAGGCAAATTTTATATAAAAAATAAATTGTTTGAAAAGGTTGATTGATGGCATTTTCAATATTCTTGATGTGAGCAACATGTTCACATTGAAACTAATGGACTGATAGAATTTGACTGCAAGAACAATATGGGAATGAAGTGCATTCACTGTCAGGGACAGGTGAGTGGCACTTGCTCTTGTCATTCTTGTGTCCTTGATTGGGTTGGTGGGTTACCTATTTGAAAGAAAAGATTTGAAGAATCTGGACAGCTATGGGTAAACTGGACAGGAATAATCAATGCAGCCATTGGAGGCAAATCTTTATTTATTAGAGGAGTCCCTTCATATGCCTCAATGTCAGTGAACCAGTTTCCCACCAGCAGAAATTGGAATTCTATATATGACCCTTATTCTATATATGAGCTTGATATTGATATATTCTATATATGAGCTACAAGTAATGAAAGTTTTCTTCAATGTTTTATGGTCAATCTGATGTGACAGTCATGCTTCATTTTAGTTTGTTTTCATTTTTAGAGCCATATAAGTCTCACAATGTACTACCCTCTTTGTCTTCACATTCCACCAAATGTTGAGTGGACAATATGCATGCCATCTTATCTACTTGCCTCCAATTGGTGTGCTGACTAGCCGGCAAGCCAGATGGAAGCACTGTGAGGATTCCCCATATCCCAGCACATTTCTGAGAGTGAGGTATTGCAGTGAATGGGTATCATGTCAAGAGGTCAACCAGGTGGCAGTCTTGACAGAGTGCCCTCTTCTGGGTCCAGCTGCAGAATATCCCAGACTCGGGGACAACTGTTGGGCAACTGGTGGCAGTTTAGAAATTTCAGTTCTGGGTGGTTCCATTTCAGATCAGGCAGGTACATATTTTTTTTATTTAGAAAAAAAAGTATGTGGTCCTCCCATCCAAGTGATGAAATATGGTAGCTCATTTACCTCTGTATCTATGATAGTTTCGGAGAAAATAATTCACGAGTGGAGGGCTCTAAAATAAGGCAAATTACCAATTCGCTGTTTTTCCCTCTTTTGATTTGCTGTATCTCCTAATGTACATAGATTACTGAAAATAATTCATTGTTTATTAGGGGTACCAGATAGTAATGTAGTTTTTTTGTAAACCAAATGTAAATGTTATATTATTTATGGTGTGCTTTTGTTTTTCTAATGAATTTCATTTATTAATCTAAAGAACTGTTATTTGTCATAAATTTTTTTCTGCAAAAATGTCTGACCACATTCCCCAAAGAGATCCACATACAATGTTGTCAAAAAATTTGACAAATAACGGCAAGAAAAGTGATGAATTGTTTTCAGTAATCTATGTACATAGTTTAGGAGATACAGCAAATTGAAAGTGGGGGGAAAAACAGTGATTTGGCAAGTTGCCCTTTTTAGAGCTCTCCACTCATGAATTGTTTTCTCCAAAACTATTGCAGATACAGAGACAAATGAGCTACCATAATTCATCACTTGGATGAGCAGACCACATATATTTTTTGAAAAAATCTAAGACTATGATATGACAGGCAAGGTCTGGTTTGAAATGGAACCACCCTTCTACACCATTTTTTTTTTTTACATATCTGGTGCACCAATCAGGGATCAACATCTTGTGACCAGAAATTTTGGATGAGGAGCCTTGCTCCTGTACTTAGAGTTTCCATGCCCTTGAACATTTGCATTGCAAATACCAATTTTTGGCTAATCCATACAAACCTGAGGGCATTGCTTTTAGGGTCAGATTCCACTCCATAGAAAGATTCTTATAAAAAGTGCAATAGTTACAATTGGTGGAAAGCTCAAACTAGGTGTCATCATGGAGGATGTAAGGTGAAACTTCATATATTATCTCCATTTATTTAGGTTCAATGCTTAAAGAACATTGAAGAAACATATAAACATAAAGAAGTAGCTCTCATTTGATGGTGACAGGAAACCAATGATGCATTGATAGTATGAGAAATTAGATTTCTATATATTTTGCTGATTTGGAAAAACTGAAAGTTTACTTTTTTAAATTTTTTCCTTGTAATATTCTTTAATTGGTCAATGCAATGAAACTCTGATTTGGATGAGCTCTCAATGCATGGACACACATTGAGAAGTATCTGTGATAATCTTATCTTGTGTTTTTTAAATAGTTCTGGCAGCTCCTCAGCTGTGAAAAGTCATCTCCACCTATAACACCCTCAAGTTTTTTAAATTTCATATTTGCATCATGCTCAACATCGCTTATTGTTCAGTAACCCTTGGAGCTTTTCCTTCTGCACCATAGTCTGCTTCCTTGCTACGTTGACGACATACAAGTCCGATTATATGATACTTTGTAGTAAAGGAAATATGCTGAGTCCTTCAAAGTCCTATGGAGCTAATAAATTTTGAAGAGACTCTTTGGGAATGAAGAGAAGAAACAACATAAACAACAAATATATGACCATCTGGGTTCTGATAGTCCGAGTTAGTGTTGCATGCATAATTTTATTTAATGATTGGTGACTCTGGGATTGGGGATCTCTTCTAATGCAGTCAGATGACAGGAGTCATTCTGGTGGACAGGACATTGGTCTGCTGGGCTCCCATTGAAGAAGCAGCCTTGATTACTCTTGCATTGATTTATATTGAGCTGTATCCCTCCCAGATCTTTTGTAAACCCAAGTGCTCTTAGGTCATTATCCTGCTGTTGGGACAGAAAATTGAATCATATGGAAATGCATGGATTTCTGTTGCAATAATATTTGTAGGGACCAGAAGACAGGAGACAGAAATTTAAACTCACATCTGGCTACTAAAGTTTACTGCACCACCACCACCAAAGGTATATATTTATTTTGGGTATTTACTTTTCCAAGTGTTTCTCAGCCATTTTTCCTCCAGCATTCTGCCTATTGGGGTCTTGACAATTCTTTTACACCATATAGGTTTGTGTTATTCACATAATTTTCATGAAACTAAACTTGACACATTTTCTGAATTATATGTCTGTGCAATGCTATATACAGCAAACTCAGTTTAGGGAAAGTTTTATATGAAAATGTACTTTATTTTCATGCACATGCATGGCATTGCATTGAGGGAGCATTGCCGATGGGGAGCTGCTAGAAGTCTGATCTGGTGAATGGCTGGAGTTCACTGCATATTGGGTGACTTGGATGAGGAGGCAGGCACATTTTACTCTGCAATAAAAAGGCACCTGAAGACTTTCTGCATCAGAAACTGTCAGGTCCCTCATCAGGTTGCCCAAACTTTGGGATTTGAATCTTATCTACTTCCATCCATTTTCAATATTAGCACTGGGAGTGGTATAATTTTTACCATTTGATTCAAATTAATTAAATCTTTTCTGCATTATGTTGAGTGCCAAAGAAGTGATTTTTTTCATCTGTATATACTTGATCTGCCCAGGATAGGGAATGTCTAGTTCAATTATGGTGGACTGACTTTGCAGTCACCACGAATACTCTTCTAACATTGATACTCTGGTGTTGATAATCAGTTTTCTGATTTCCAATAGGTGATACTTGTTGAAACACTAGTAGAGATGCATCAACATCATAAAGATGATATATGATTTCATCTCTTGCCTGCTCCTCTACTAATAATATCTATGTATAACAAACCTGAACAAACCATTTTTACTATCCGTGGAGATTTTTACTAAGAATTTAGTGCTCAGCTCAGTCAGGATGGATATTGAGGCATCTTTACAGAGAGAAAAGATTCCAACCCTAGTCAATCCTCTTGGTTTTGAGCACAAGCAGATTCCCCAAGCCTCAAACCCTTCTCATGGGTTTGAGACTTTCCACTTTGGGTGGAAACATGAGATTTTTTTAGCCAGCACTTAATTTTCTTTATTGCAGAACCCACATAGTACTTTTTTCTCAAGTTAGAATCTCCAGAATTTCCTTGAAGCTAAACCCCTGGACAGCTTGTGAAAAACCACCTATGCAGGACTAAGAGAACAGGATGACTCTTTTCATCATCCTCCCCAGTTCATTTTTTCTTCAATCATTACAAGTTTCTCAGTAACTGAAATAGAGGCCCATGATTCAAAAACAATGTTATTTTGCCAGAAAATATCACAGGGGAAACTGTCATGAAAGTATAATATTTTCTTCACTTAGGATTTGCCAGAATGAAGTATCAATATGTCAACAGTCCTATTTGTATTATTGCCATTCTCAAACAACTCTTTATGCATAGCCATGGATCTTCTATGGTATTCTCTTTATTCTTGAGAAAAAAGTTCTATCATTTCCCAGAATAATAATATAAAATACTGTAGGTACAACCCACTGAATGAGGGGGGCTTGAGACATGAAATTGAAGAGGTAAAATGGGAAGTTTCCTACTTTCTGGTGGACATATTTGGTAGTAGTGGATGCCTATGGTGGTCCTGAGGTGTTAGAAATGATGATGTAAATGTTTGTGATGTGCTTAATATCATATGATGACTAGAACAGACTAAGCTATAAATGTTATTTTATAGTTTTTGTATACCAGTCAAAGCATGAAACCATTTGTGCTGTCAGTTGCTTTTTGTTCTCAGCTGAGATTGTAAAATCTTGAAACTGCAAAGAGTCAGTGAAAAAATTTCCACATGATGATATAAGTGCATTCTAGGGTTATTCCCCAGGGGCAAGTAAGAAGTTTCAGAGATGACCTGTGACCTTCAGAGAAATTTCTGGACAAGGAGGCATCGCAAGGGTGTCTCATTGAAAGGGATTTGTTTTCCTGCTGTGCAATACATCCCAAGCTTGTCCCAGAGACCTCTGAAGATGTAAAAGTTCCTGCAAATGACTATTAGGGACATCTCCCAGTCATAGAACTGTATGGGTGAGGGGATATCCCAAGGAAGAAGTCTCATTAATGAGAGATATCCTTGGAACTTCCCATGCTTTGTTAGGAGTGTATCAATGAGGTTGTTTCCAACTAAGATCCTTAGTACCAAACAGGTCAATTTAGCACTGTTTTTGAGACTATCCAAAGATACCTTCTTTTTTTTTTCTTTTAGAAGCAGCATTGGCTTTAAAGATGGCATCAGGCTTTGTCATGTGAATTATTCTTTTGAAAGATATAGTATAATTGATTTTTTCAATGCTTCTTTTCAAAGTTTAATTAAATCTCATCTCAAGAGATGTAGTAGAAGAATTCAAGTGCCTTGCTGGTCCATATTATTTCAGGATGTCTCATGAATTTCAGGAAAGTTATCCTGTTGGGGACATCCCTGAGATGCCTCTTTGCTGTGGAGGTCAGCATTTGATTTATATATTCAAAATACCATCTGCATTAAATGTTATTGGAGCCAGTGAAATAGATACTCAATTTTTCCATAAATGTAACAAATTGTAAGCATCTAGTCCAGCCAACTATTGATAAACTAGTAAGTGATTGAGAATGGCGATTTGGAGAAGAGTAGAAAGTAGGCAGGGTAGGAGATACCATTGCAAGCAGGAAATGCTTGCAATTTCTTGCTTTTCCTATGTTTGAATCAGCTGATTGAGGGTTCTGGATGATTCTCCACTCATCATTCCTTTGAGCAAGCCAGAAGAAAAAAAAAACATGAAGCATTAAACTTCATTAAAACTTCTGTTCACTTTGATTCTAGACTTCAAGAATATTGGCAACATGAGTCTAAAATGAGAGAATGCTATTTTGTTTTTTAATATTAAAGTAGTTAGTGATTTTAAGAGGCAATTACACCCATTCTGATTAAACTAGTCATTTTTAGATCAGCTAGTTTCTACCCTCAAGAGAATACATAGCACACAGCACTGGCCTCACATTACGATATGAAGGGCCTGTGCAGCATGAAGCAACTTGCCCTAGAAGCATGCAATACAAGAGTGCTTGCTTACAAGAGCCTGATAAGAGGATAGTGAAGAGGCTAGCTCAGAAGTCTTAAAGCTCTGTGGTAGCTGAAACAAACCATTAATTTGAATTTCGATGGCAGGCTTTATATGTTCCCAAGAGAAACACATCAAACAAAGGGGTTCATGGAGGTTTAAGCACATCTTTTTGTTGCTTGAAATGCTGTATGCATTCACTACTTCCAAAAGTGAGAAGTTATGTACAGCAATATCCCCACGACTTCAAACTCATCCACTAAACACTCAAGTCAGCTAGCTTTGGATGTAAGCAAAGAACTGGAACATGTTGCTACTGTGACGTCTGATCTTGAGCATCCCTGGGAGTTGTATCAGATAATTCCTACATGCAAAGCTCTGCCATGATAATTTAGCCACCTTGTTATTATGATATGTTAGTTTGATGTAGGGAAAAACAAATGAAGGCTATCAAGTGTGTGAATCTTTATAGATACTCGCTTAAGCTACATTTTGCAGCACCAAGAGCATCTACCCTTTTTGGCATCCAATTGGCAAGATGTTGTATCCCCCCCATATCCATGAGAGAGTTTTCTCTAATTCTAAGATTGGTGGGACTTGAACAGGTTGTTCCGAGCTGAGGATCCAGATGCTACCACAGATGCTAGATTGAATTCATATCGTGGGCTTAGGGGTACCCAGGGAAGAAGTTGAATGCTTTGATTCCTCTTCTAGACTCTAAATTTATAGCTAGAACTCCAACTTTTTACATCAACCAAGCTGGGAAAATAAGGGAGCATAACTGCATGAAATTCAGAAAGTGTGATATTACAACAAGCACTACTTTTACCTTAGTCCTTACTTTGTCAGTGCAGGAACAAGATGGCCAGTTCAAAAGATGTATAAATGCATGCTGCTTGCAGACAAGGATGTTATTTCGTAGTCTGCTAGGGGAGCTACTGAGTCAGAGGAGGGTAAAAAGCTAGGGGTAGGGTGAAGGTTTGTCCCCTGCCCCCCTAGCTTCCCTGAAATGTTTCTGCATGCATAATGGACAATAAACAAAATCATTGCTGCTCAAGAACAGAAGTGACCATGGCTCACTGTGACAAATATGCAAACAAAAAATCTAATATGAATCACCACACTGAGAAGTTTTAATTCTCTTGAATTGCTTAAGCAGCATTTCCAGTGGTATCATGATTTTCTGTCTGTCCAATAAAATTATGTTCTTTCAAGATGGCTGCATGTCTTTGCAAATGAAGTGTCATGTCTTTTCAAGAAAATCACATTTTATCTCTTATGTACAAATGAAGTTTAAAAAAAAAGACCATATATCAAAGACATATCAAAATTATCCAAAATGCAGATATCCTAATTAAGTAGGTAGAGAAGTCAAGCCTGGAACTTTTGTTTAATTATGTGGGTGTGACTGCATGCAAAAGAGGAGATCTCAACAGGAGAAAATTTTGAGAAAATGGTTTTCATTGTTAAAATATTTGTAGAATTTTCTATCATATGTCATTGAAAATTTATTTCCATTTCTGAGCCTTTTAAGGTCCCTTCTCTCTTGCATGATCACTTATAATCTACATGAATCATGATTCCAGGCAGCTCCAAAACCCTCTGAACACCAGAATCAGGAAAACCTTGAAAATGAGCATAAAGAAGTATCAGCAAAAATTTAACCTAGGGTAAACATAGTTTAAAATGAAAGATGGGCTATTTTTCATAAATATATTAGTTCTGTAGAGGTTGGAAAGAATAAAAGTAACCAGAGCCATGATTACATTCTTGCTAGCAATCCCTATAAGAGGAGTTATTAACTTTCACACAAAACTGAAACCTAAGACATTTAATACCTCCAACGAGGTTGATTCAAAACAGGATGTCTTGCTTGCTGGGCTTGATGACTTCCGGGGGGTTGTTGTCTTGGTTTCTGGGCTGGATGACCTACTGGAGCTGGTTGTCTCATTTGCTGGGATTGATGCCCTCCAGGAGGTCGACACTGCATTTGTTTGACTAGATGCCCTCCAGGAGGTAGTTGTCTTGCCTGCAGGGGTGCATGACCACCAGGAGGTTGCTTTCTTGCTTGCAGGGCTGCATGACCTCCAGGAGCTTGCAGTCTTGCTTGCTGAGGTTGATGACCTCTAAGAGGTTGCTGTCTCACTTGCTGGAGTGGATGACCTCCATGAGGTAGCTGTCTCAGTTGCTGGGGTGGATGACCTCCAGGAGGTTGCTGCCTCCTCACTTGCTGGGGTGGATGACCTCCAGGAGGTTGCTGTCTCGCTTGCTGGGTTTGATGACCAGGCCTTGGACCCTGTTCCATGTTTTCTTGTGGCATTTGGCAAAATTGTTGCACCCAATTATGAAGAGCCTGGAATGGGTTTAAGTCACATACACAGTCACAAGGCAATGGGTGAACTCACACATCAAGTTACAATAAGCAAAAGTTACATCCCCCTACCTGAAGATGGGCTTCCTCATGCTGTGCTCTTCCTTCAGGCATTTCAGGAGACTCCTTTCTTGGATCATTCTTTAGCTCTAAATTAGGATTTTCATCTTGTAACTTTTTCTTCACCTCTGCAGCTTTAACATGGACTTCTTTGGCATGGAGAGACATAGAATCTGTCCACAAAGGGCATCTACCAAAATAATTTTTTTTGCTACATTTTGTGCAACATCTCTTCCAGCTGGGACACTTTCAGACATGTCAGGTGATAATTATTTTTTCTTAGTCCAGATTTCAGGTTTTTTTTTTAGCTATCCATCCATGCCATTTAGTGAAAATCATCATCATCAGTGAAATTATTTCATTAGCATATCAGGTTGCAGATAAAATAGGAATCTTTGAATTTAATATATGACTCAGCAAACTTACTATATTTTGTTTTATTGCAGCAAACTGATGAAGTTCATGCATCCCAAACTTTCAGTGTTGGACCTAGAACAATATAATCCTCACCTGATAGATCAACATCAATAAAAGTGAGAAATTTGTGACAAAAACAAACCTATCTTTGATCAGTGGCCCATGCTTGGTATAATATTAGAGCCTAGCATCAAAACAAATTCAAAAGAAAGAGGAAATTGCAATCATAATAGAACTCTTCCTATCTAGTGAACACTCCCCCTATGGTATTTAATTTATGAGATGCCCCTTAGGTCAAGGAAATTTGTTCAATCACCATCATCAGCCATTTTCTGTTCACTGCTGGTCAAACCTATATTCTATTAACCCTTCAAGCACTGAGTTTTAAATTCCTGTGAACATCCTCAGGCATATCTTAAATGCACAACTAGGAAGGCTTTCACTCACATGGTACTTTTTATTATATGCCTTGCAAATCTCATGAGAAAATGTGGAATAATTCTTCACTTCAGTAACATGTTATTCTTGGGCATCTAAGAATATTTTCAAATGCTTTTTTTCAATTCTTTCGAAATTCGATGCTTTTCAAGGAAGATACTGTTTAAATGAAAGTTGATCCTTCCACAGTGTCAGGGACTCATCAATTGTAATATTTTCTGAGGGCTTGTATGCAGTTTGAAACCTTTTGTTCAGATGTGTTACAACAGGGTGAATTTTGAACAATTTTTTTGAGCCTTGGAAATCCCCTAATTATGAGTTATCCACAAAATGCAGAAACTTTGAAATCAGCTCAAACCTATCCAGCAATGTCACATTTGAAAAAATTGGTGTCTCAAAGAAAGGTTTTTGGCAAAAGTAGGATTTGATTGTTGGTTTTTGCACAATTCTCATCATGACTAGTGCAAGGTATACATTCATCTAGTTTCTGTCAACAGGTTTCCAATTGTGTTTTTCTCATCTTAGAAGACTTCATTTCCTTGAAGTGGCAACAATTTTTGTTCATTTTACACTTCCAAAAGTATCACAGAAAGTATTTTAAAATAGGCTAAACACATAGTCCTTAATGTACTCTATATGCCGGTCGAAACAGAACAAAAATCCGTCCACAGATGACAGGATAATGTTCTTGCAATTAGGTGAATGTGGAGAACATATAGCATACGAGGATACACCCTACCAGCAGCTAGTGACTATTGTATGGTGTACGTGAGCTTGAAGGGTTAAATCCTATTTTGAGCTACACCAATCACTCAACAAGACTCTTTAGATCTTATTTCATCACTACTTTCTAATTTTGTTCATTATCTACCATTCATGCCAGGTGCACAGCTCAGGTATACTTGCTCACTTGCTAATACTATATGTGTGATGTACTGGTTTGTGTCTATTCCTGACATAGAACTCATTCTACTATATTTTTGGATGTATTAATTAATCATTACATTTTTTATTCACACTATTTTTATTGGAAGAATCAACAAGGTAATGCTGTCTGTAGGGCAAGAACAATTAAGGGCTTGTATTCCTGAAAAACAAAGCTTGAGATTTCCTGCCATCCATTTGCAATAGATTCTCCTATTGACTTTCATGATTCTTGACAGGTAAAATTATTTTATCTAGAGAGAAAGGAAGATAAAAATCAGTTTCAATCATCTTCCAGACCAAACAAAGAATTCTGCAGTATCTGACAGAGAGGTGATCATGGTAGTGCACTTTTTTTTACAGGTTGGCCTGCTACAGCAAAAATACCAATATGGAAAAATAAACTCACTTGGAGGGATCATTGTCAGCAAAATGGCTGTAATCTTCAACAGGCTTCTTGCATAGGTAGCACATTTTTGCTCCACAACTGCAAGTCATCTTATTACAGCCCTCTTCCTTCATGAATCTAGTCCCACACTTGGAACATGTCCTGGAAAACATAAAATATCAATTACTTCAAAATTACTTACTGTCATTACATGATTAATTTATTGTTCAGATGGACTTATCAGGCTACCTTATCACAGCTTCTGACAATTCATTTTCAAAGTACACACGAGCCCGTTCTGCCCCTTCTTCCTGCTGGATTTCCTCACATCGACGAGGTATGTGACTTGGCCTTTTGCACAGCCTGTTAAGTGAGAAATGCATATAATCTCACTGCAGGAAACGTTCCGTGGCTATTATCATCACCTCCAGCAATGGCAACTAACCGACAAGATTCCTTCATGCATTCAGGATTGAGGCATCTAAAAATCTTTTCCTTAGGATCTTCCATAATTGTTGCAAAATCGCAAAAAGCACAGCATTCAAGATTTTGAATGTTTGCTGCTTGGATCTCTTCAGCTTGCTTCCTTCTCAATACACGTGACAGGGCAGAGGGCCTCAAGATTTGCTGGGAGGTTATGGAAATATGAGCACTGAAATCATCTGTCACAAATAGCAACATGTGAGCAAATGATGGAGATGACTCACCTGAAGAATGCTATAACTGAAAGTAGCATTACATGAGGGATCCAAACAAAGGAAATCAACACGTCCTTGTCCAATCACTTCCTCTGCATATCTAAGTGAGATCAGTTTGCAATCATGACACAGCAACGTAATGCTTTTGAAGCATAAGGTTTCCTTTGCTCTTTCAAAACTTCAGATTGGCTATACAGCTCCTCTTAAAAAGAATTGCTGGTACTATGTGCAAAGAAACTTGAAATTAAGTAACAATTTTTTAAGTGCCCACAGGAAAATTTCTCATTCATAAAAGAATTGAAAGCTAAAGATGCTTAAGAAGATGCAGGTCTGATTCTCACTTCTGAACACAAGACTCGCAGAACAGATGTCCATCAACACAAGGCTTCATGTGCTTGATGATGAGCTTCTCTTCACAACATACAGGACATTCCAACATGCTGTCTGCATTCTCAGCCTCTTTGAAATCCTCCTCACATCTCAGCTGCTTCTCTCTCTCAATATTGCCTTCTTCAAAGTAAAGATCCTCATTTGTTGCTCTCTTCACTTTAGAAGCATTCTCACACTCCTCTAGACTATCTCTAGCAATCCAATTCTTCTGTTGCTCAGGACTGTGACGTTTCTCGGCTATCTTCCTTCTCCATTCAGGACTAGAAGCCATGTCTTCATTAAGAAGGAAATTCACAGACTTTTCAATTCTGTCAGCATCATGACCAAACTTTGTAACCACTTTTTGTATTGTAGGCAGTGGGATATGGGGTAATATCTGCAGGATCTCGCATGCCTCCATAGTCAGCTTATGAGGTACCTGCAGAGGAGTAGTAGCAGGAGAAAAAGCAAGAGCAGCTGCAGCTGCTGCTGCTGCTGCACCACCATCGCCACCTTTACAAGACATGCTTGTAGAGTTGGAACAAGATTCAAACGGATCAATGTTGCCTGCACTGAAGCACTCAAGTTTGCATCCTTGTATTCACTAATGAGTTCAATCTTGAATGACAAAGAACTTCTTCTTTGCCTTTAAAATATTTTATTGCAGCAGAGCTTGGTCCAAAGTCTCACCACCAAGCCCACTGCAATGCTGAAGGAATGCACCGCTATCCTGTAGAAAGAATCCATATCCACCTTACTAAAAATTCATTTTGCACTTTACAAGTAGGCTTATGAAGCATTTGAACAATATTTTATTGGCATGCATTTCAGACTTATTCTTAGTCTGACAGCCTTGGTAATGAGGTTATTCTGGTTACAGCGTATTTTTCTTACTACTTCCTTCTTTCTTATTCTGTATTTTAAGTTTCAGTTTCTGCATTCAAAGTATGTACTTTGGGAACGAAAGCGTGGAATTTTTGTAATCGTCACTATTTTGCTATAATAAATCATTCATTTGTTTCATTACCATTTTCAACATTATTTCATTGTCTATGCGAGAAAACTTTCCTGGCGTGAAGAAGCCTTCAGGACTCAGGATTACATCGTGCCTGTACAGAAACTCTCCTCCATTGACGAACGACAACAATTTCCAGATTTTTTGGCATGTATCCCATGGACGTCGCCGCTTCTATCTAGCTCTTCCAATTTCGCGAGAATTCATTATTCCACTTTTCATAGCAATCCTAGAGGGAATCACGCCCAGATCCAGTGTCCTTCAGACGCTACTTTTGCCAATTTGAATCGTGTTAAGTCAGAGACCCAACAGATGGCAGCATACACTCTGCTAGATAAGAGAACCTCTGGAAGCAGGAAACAACTGGGCTTCTTCGCAAGGCTGAACCAGGTTGCTGTATCCAATGGGGCACAAGATGGACAGAGCCCATGTCCAAGTGACATAAAAACTCGAGTTGTATCACGGGCAACGGTTTGCCCGCGAATAGGAAAGGCAAAAGCAAGACAGTACGCTCTATATGGACTCATGGAGCCACTATGCAAGGCGTCTACTTATGCTTCAAGGGCCTCGAAATTAAACGCATTCGATTACTCGTATTCGATGGGAGTAACAGTGTATTCGCTGCTGAATGTCTCTGAGCCAGATACCGTATAGCGGATAAAATAGTTGAACCCTTTCGTGAGGCGTGGGAATCATACTTCTCACCACACGAATTATTATTAGTGCGTTGGGAAGCCCATTTCCCACCTAATTTGCATACGATATGACAGGGAAAAAACGCAGAAAAGATGTGCCAGCTTTCTCGTAGCCCATAAAAGGTTTAGAAAATCAGATCTGATTGATGACTGTCAAACTAAGAACTAGTTCAAATATGATTTTTAGAATATCATTTCGCGTCATATATTTATGTTTCCCATGTCGTAGCAGGGACTTGGATTAGAACTGAGACGCTACTGCTCCAATCGTGAAATCCGCCCGTATCAAAACATCTTGAAGTGGTGCGACACGGAGGAGGGCGAGGCGACGTGCACCCATGGCACTTGTGGTGAATAACGAATTCCCGACCTGGTAAAGAAACTACTTGGGACTTCCCACACCAATGGAACACCTAGGGGATTGGTTTCGGTATCCTTTGGAACCCTGCTCGCAAGTTCACAACACCTGATTGGATTTCTTCACACACTCCAAAAAATATTTGATGCTCTTAAGAAACCCAGAACTATTTCTATTTTAAAATACTATTTTGCAAACAATTTATTGTCGCAGGAAAATATAATAATAATATAGCAAACAGAAAATAACTTTTAAAACTACAAATAGCAGATACTATTTCTGATTTTCAAGTACCAACACGTGTCGGAGTCAATCACTGACCTGAACAGACTAGACTGCAACACCTATCCTTGTCTGGCCCGTTGGCGAACGACGTCGACTGACACACGGTGGTCTAGAGCCACGGCGGTTATGGCTCTCACCTCGTTGAGAACCAGTTCCCCCCCATATCGCCGCCCTCAAGGGATAGTCACTCGCCCCACAGTCGACTAGCGTGCGGATTGGGCACGCCAGAGATGCACATCTAACACGCGAGGAGGGAACGGGCTCTGGCCTTGGCCGTGGTTATTGAGACTGAAATACTGCTAGGTGGTTGGGATGTTCGTCGCCGGACGATTTCAAGAATCATCGTCGTGTTGGCACGTTCAGGTATGTCGTGTGACGAACGCCGCTGTGTCCGAATCCGAATCACATGGTATCTTCATCGCACAGTGAGAGGGTCACTCGGTTGAGATCTTAACTGCGACAAAAGTCCGATTTATAGGAAAGTGAGCGTTACGGGCATAGTGGCAAATTAAGGAGCTTCGTAAAATCTCATAGCGATTCAATTTCTACCCAATAAAGGTATGAAGAGAGGATGCCCCTGAATCTTCTCCCTCTCTGAGACCATTGGACGAAGCGTTACGATTGCAACTGCATAACCGACACACGACCAGCCTCAGTCGGTATATTAATTATATAATCGCCCATGTAGGCGAAATGTCAAAATGTACAGTGCATTCCTTCAAACCTCGCAATTACCCTTTCAACGTCTTCGAGTTCGCTTCTTCACGCCGATCCCCTCCCACACTTTCAAATAATTTTTAGAAAAACTCTCCAAACTCAAGTTTAGCATCCCAAGTAGCACAAAAGAAGTGGGCCATAAGCGGCCCAGGCCCTACACTGGCGAATTTCTGCCAGGGGCGGGAACGTGGCGGCAAGTGGGACATGCAGTTGTTGGTCCGCTACCTATTATAGGTGGAGGGCCACCAGCTCCCTTCCCATATTGTAGCTGGCATTACCTTAGATCAGAGGTATCAAACATACGGCCCGCAGAGGTGGTTCATCCGGTCCGCCGTCTGCTTTTGAAATTCTCCGCATGGATTGAGTGTCAGCACAAATTTCAGTGAAATATTATGGGTGCGGCCCGCCGACCGATTTGAGTTTGACACCCCAGTTTGAGTTTGATGCATACCAAGAGTCCGCACTAGATGGTACCCTCGTTCCCTACACCCTGCAAATGCAATGAAGTACCTGCCTTCCTGATTTAGCAAAAGTGCTTTTTCCCTCGTTTTTCCTCTTTTTAATGTGCAATTTATAAACAGATGGAAAGCGTGGAATTATGTTTTGATTGCAATACAAGACTCGCGGAATTATTAATTGCTGAAGTATGGGAATTCAGAAGTTCTAGACTAGGGGAGGGTAGAGATACTTGGCTTTCTAACATCTAATATATACAGGGTATAGACGATCGTGACTGACTGACTGACGCTAATTCTAATCATGTTCTAGAGAAGTGAGAGATCTGAAATTTGGTACACAAGTAGCTTTTGGGATGAAGAGTTCAGAAAAAATCCGACTTTTGAAGTACATGCCCTGGGGTCACCCATTTTGGGGGAAGATGTTTTCGATGAAATATATTTGCTTTGGTCAAACTGAGAGACATTGAAAGCTGAAACTTGGCATGGACATGCCTACTAAGACACTCAGTTCAAGAAAAATGGTCAATTTTTATATGCATGCCATGGGTGCATACGTATTTTGGGGGATGACGTTTTCAAATAATTTTTTTTTTTACCTATCGAATCGGGCAGATAGAAAGGTGACACTTGATACAGAAGCACCTATTGGGAACCTGAAAACAGGAAAATTCAGACTTTGGAGGAAAATGCCCCGGGGGGCACAAATTCCAGGGGGAGATGTTTTAAAATAATTGTTTTGCTTCTGTCAAACGAATAAACTTGGAAAGCTGTAACTTGACAAGGGCGTGCCTATTGGGACTCTGAAGTCAGGAAAAATGTGAAGTTTCGGATGTATGCCCTGAGGGCATGTTTTTCGGGGGTGAGGTTTTCAAATAATTTTTTTTTTGTCCTACCGAATTGGGCAGAAATAGAAAACTGAAATTTGGCTCACCGATACCTGAGTTGATGGCGAGTTCAGGAATAATTCACGTTTTGTGGTGCATACCCTCAGGGCACAGCTATTAGCTTTGTCGGCTTTTCGAAATATATTTTTCCGCCAGCAAAAAGAGCAAATGGATAAAACTGAAACTTGGTAGGCACGTAGATCTTCCAGTTTTGATTTCAGTTATATGTTAATTTTTAGGTAAAACCCTTGAGGGCACTTTTTTTTTGCTAAAGGCGCATTTTCCGGAATCTTTCCTCATCCAATGCAAGAAAGTTGAAACTTGGAGCAGAAGTACCTGTTGGATTGCTAAGTCTATATCCTACTTTTCAAATAAGACCCCTCAGGACAGATTATGAAGAGATTTGATGTTAAGCAAGCAAGAAATAATTGAAGTAATTATTTCGATGGAAATATCGGTTAAGTCTCACTCGGTACACATTTTGACAGGCAAATACTTTTAATACGTTTTTGCCACTCTGAAAATAAATAAATGAATGAATCACTAACCTACCTAACCTAGACAATGGAACACCGAAAGCGTGACCATAGCGAGTTTGTTTGCCCATGCTATATACATGATATGACTTGGTGCACGTAACTTTCTCCTCACACACTACCCTCTCCCTCCCCCACCCCCAGCGGTCCATACTGAATGCGGAAGAGAGCGGTGGTTCATCTTGGTACTCTTGGGTACTCTTCTGAATAGGCTCCAGAGCCAAGATTTATCGGATATACATGGAGACATTAGAACCCTTCCGAGTTTGGTGGTACACCACAAACGAGCTAACCTATGATGTGCTGACCCTTTATCGGACAGGAAGGTGGCGGACCAGTGCTGGCAAGTGGGACATGTACCACGTGGCCCACAACCCAGTTTGGGGAAGAATGAATTTTGGTAAATGAATCATTTCATGATTTGGTGCTATCCCATGGTCCCATGATCAGCACACTACCCAAACTTGGCAGCCCCTAATATATTTTTTTATGATGCTTCCTAAAAAGCAATGTGTACCACACAAAACCAAGGATTGCTAAAGAACAGAATTAGGAAAGTTATCACTACACCATTGAGA